AAAAAAAAAAAAAAATTTTTTTTTTCTTTTTTTATTTCAGGCCTGTATCTTTTCTTATTTTGTGCTACAATGAGTTAGAGTCCCAGACATTCCAGCAAGATGAGCTGAATAGGGAATTTATAAATAAATACACACAATACACCAAATGCCCATGCAGTCTTTAGGAAGCTGCTTAATAGCTGAGCCCCATCTGAATGTCAGCAGTTTACACGGTGAAGAAGTGGGCAGTGCTGATACAATGTGTTGAACTTTAGTGTGATAGTCACTATGTGGATTGTGTTTGCAAGGCATGTGTAAGTGCATACTTAGAGTAAACAGGTGTGATTCAGCTGTGTGCACGTCTGGTTTCATCAGAATGAGATAATCGTCTGTTCGTGGCACAGGTGATGGCGATCGTGTGCAGAAGAAATGCCAGGCGGAGTGGGATGTGAACATGCTTGTGTGTGTGGGAGTGTCTTCACACTATAAGAAGCCTAAGACAAAGTGCTGATTAGCAGAAGGGCATGCTGGGAGAGAAGGGAAGTTGATCATAACAGAGGCATCGTATGTGCCGTGTGGAAGCCTTCTTGATCTCCACGTCCTGGGTCACGGCAAGGCAGTTGGGGGCATTTATCCAACTTAACTTTCATAGACAACAAAGGTCCTTTCAGGTAGGAGGTGTGAGGGGAGGGTATTGTTTCCTGCACCTAGTTAATAAAGGAAACAGGGACCACAAGTGACTTAGGTCTTAATTTTATTTTAGAGGTGCAGCCAAGGTCAATTTGACGGACTGGGCTCAGCATTTGTGCAGGAGCTGTTGGGTCTCCAGCTTTCCTGGGGTGTTCAGCTAGTAGGATTGGGGAGGGGGGGGGCGCTGATAGTATGTCCCCCTCCTCGTGACCCTGCTAGCTCTCCTCTGCAGAGTTTCTCTAACATGGAGAAGGTAGTTTTTATTATTTTTATCTATACTTATGCCCGGTGCCGGTCAACCCATTAGGCGACGGGGGCGGCTGCCTTCTGTGGGGGCGGCACCTTAGCGAGCCGACTGCATTTGTCTCAGACGGGCAGCGCCAGCGGTGACACTTACCTGCTTATGCCTGATAGCTTCTGAAAAATGCCAGTGTCATTCTTTGTTAAAAGGGGCATGGAGCTTCTGGGCATTTACTCTTGGCAGTCTGAAGACCATAGATGTTTGTGGCATTGCGGGGGCCTCATGCCAACCCTCTAGCCTGCTCACGCTCCACACGGCCAGGCTGCAGTTTCCCTCGAATTGCCCATTTCTCAGCGCTGAATTCGTAATACAAGCTGGCGCCCTGAATGCGAGAGTGTTTAATTTGTGTGGCTGGTGCAGCCGTTCAAGCTACCCCGCTGCTCCAAGAGCTCATTTCACGTGTTCCAACCACTGTGTTAGACAGACTCCCTTATGTCCGCTGTACCAGGACTGAAATCTGAACGCTTGTCACTTTAATTAACTGTTTTTTATGGTAGTCCCTTTTTAAAAAAAAAAAAAAAAAAAAAAACACTCTTAATTTGTCTATGTTATAATGCAGATTGTACGGTGCATTACTTTTACAAAAATTAAGAAAAATCACTCACAGTTTGATAGTCACTTCAACAGCCATTGTCTTAAAACACTGATGATTATAACTAACAGGCGTTTTTGAAATGATGTGGGGGTTTTTTTCTTCCCGTTTAAGCAGTTTGGATTCTTACCAAATAGGGTGCCTGTTACTCTATACGACCCTGACAAAGTGTAACGCTGTCTTGTAATTGCGTCCATGTTTGAAACACCTGTAGATGTTATGTCACACAGCTGGGTTCTTGCTTAAGAGGCTGAAATGCCCTCCAGTGCTGTTTAGCTACAGTTACTCCTCAGTATTGTTGTTATGCTACAGCACAGGGCAGATCCATTCTCTTCATGGTTATTGCTATATTCAAGTAGCACTCTTACAACCAATACTGCAGTCTGTTTTTGACTAATTGGTATGTCAGGAAAAATGTATCCAAATGACAGTTGTTGTGACAATGTTTATATGCATACATTATGTGAAATTTCCTTTTTACTCATTAATTCAGAGTTGTTACATTTTGTAAATATTGATCGTCTTGTCTATATTGTATACATATTTTAAACTCTGCTTTGAGTGGAAAATTTTTACTAATGGCTTTTAAAGAGGTCAAGTATTTTCTTAAGTCACTTCTCACTGCCAGATAGTTTTGCAGTACTCCAGAATATTATTTTTTTTTTTTTTAGTTTTTTTTGATCGCTTTTTCTGTTTGCCCTTCTATATATAGTTTAGTTTTTTTTTCTATTTTACATTGCCATTGTTGGTGAATATTCACATATATTTATATAGTAAATATATATGTTTCATTAGCAACACCTGCAGCTTGTGACTGGATTTCTGAAGGACTTGCCTGTGTGATTTGCACCGGTGCCAGATGGAACATGGGTACCAAGGACCCAGGACTCCTGTCAAACCAAACGGACTTAAAAACGCCTGAGAAATGGTGCAGAAACTGCATAGTCCAACATGGAGGAGGGTGTCTGTGGAACTTCTCCGAGGAGTTGTGCTGTTCTGTATTTGGCTTGGTAGCTGGAACGCTGGATGTGAAGACCAGCTCTCTGCCAAGCTCCAGGTTCCATCCCAAACCATTTTGTTGGTGATTAGTCTTGTGCCATTCCATCCAGCTTAGACTCCACTGCTCCTTCTATGCAAAAAGAAAAAATCCTTCTCTAGCCTTTGTACAGATTATTTTGTATTAGTAACACGTAAAGAAATAAAGTGAGTAGAACCAACCTTCTGACGGACTGGACTCTTCAAAAGGCGAGAAGTCTAGGTGAGACTCCTAATGGCATTTTATGATTCTGTAAAAGACACTGATAATTACAAGTTCCAAGGCACCGTGGGACAGGAAAGAGAAAAAGTGGAGCTGAAATCTGCCGAATCCCAGGTGAAAAAGCACTACTTCCCAAAACTGAGCTGCCACAGAATAGATCTGAACTGAAATCCTCCTGCTTGCTCACAATAAACCTGAACATAAAGCAGTGAAAATAAAGCCGGGGTTTATGGTACACTGAAGTCAGACAGACAAGAAAGGTTTGGGGTTGGCTCTAATGTTACAGATAAGTAGCCATTATTAAGCCTAGGGTCAAGGTTTAGGGTTCCAGTCAGGGTTACAGCTAGGATTTGGATTAAGATTGTTTTAAGGGTTAGGGATAGAGCTAGGGTTAGGCTTGCAATTACGGTTAGGCCTATAGTCAAGGTTAGGGTTAGGGTTAGGGTTACAGCTGGAGTTAGGTTAGCCTTAGCGCCAACCATAGGAGTAATCATATCAACTCTATTCCTGCTCTTAGTTCGAAACCTTATTTCAACCCTAACCCTAACCCTAATCCTAATCCCAGTTTTAACCCTAACCTTAACTCCAAATCTAACCCTAATGTCAACCTTAGCAATAGGGTTAGGATTGAGATTAAGTTTAGGCCTAGGGTTATGGTTGGAATTAGGATTACAGTTAGGGTTATAGGGTTAGGCTTAGGGTTAGGATTACAGTTAGGGTTATAGGTAGGTTTGAACAAAGTAGCCATGAACAAGGCTCAATCATGCACTGGCACATCTGTTTTTAATAGCTAAATATTTTAGCTTTCATGAAATTGTAATAAACTACTCAAGTTTTAGAATACTTTCAGTTGCTTCCAGAATTCATTTTGACAGCTCGATTATGCTTTATCGAATCGTTCTGCTAGTAAGGAAAGATGGAGAGGAATGTGGAGTAACTCCAGACTGGGTGCTGGTAATAAGCTTGGCTGAGGAGAACCAACAGTAATCTGGGTCTACAGCAGGGGTCTCAAACTCCAGTCCTGGAGGGCCGGAGCCCTACACAGTTTTTGGTTCACCTTCATTTAACACACCTGATTCAACTCCTTGTGCTAATTACCAGACAGCTCTTGAGCGAATCATTTGTGGTGGAACAGGGAAAGAACTAAGCTACACAGGGCTCCGGCCCTCCAGGACTGGAGTTTGAGACCCCTGGTCTACAGCAATGATCTGTCTTTTATGGCCAATAGGGGGTGCCGTTGTGCTGCAGCAGTTAAATGTTAAAGGACCACTGTGCTAGACTGACTCCTTCCCTAATGTACCCCCGGGTTCAGCTGCACAGCAGCAAGTGCTACTCAGCAAATGCTTGGCAGCTACAGGTTCGCCCCAAACCCTAGTAATACCTTTCGGCAAGAAAGCTCACTTAAAACCAGCAACGTTAAAAACGTGGCTGTTTTCATTGGTGAAAATAAAACTCGGCAGAAGTCAATTTGAGTCTCTCTGGATGAACATGATGGGTCAGCAGTAGAGGAAAATGTAATCAGGTGTAGAGCCTGTAAAGACAGACGGCCATCCCCTCAAAGCAGATTATTCCTGTGTACCCGTTCAGCTCCACTGAACCATCCGTACCTATGTGAAAGTCTGCGTTTGAAAAAGGCAATTGGGTCCAGCGATAATCCAGATAAATTGTGATTCCCCCCTCCCCCCAGTCATAATCTTACAGAATTTAAAACTCATTACTGTAGGCTGAGAGTTAAGAAAGTGGCGTCACCCATGATGCAATGCTGTGACCAGCATGATCCCATTACTGAAGTACTCTGGCTCCGAGGTTAGGGCCCTGAGACTGTGGGGACTCTCAAACATGCCATGAAGATGGACAATGGGGGGGGGGGGTTAATGAGTCACAGTCAAGGCTTCCTCCACCCATGTATGGAGAAGCAGCTTCAGAGACTTTGGTACATGTCAGCAACATCATCAGTTTTGGCCCAAATTCATTCCCATAGTTTCTCTAAATCACATTTTTTTCGCCCTTGCCCTTGCTGTAAATGACCATATGCCACTTAGCCGTCATGCTGGAGAGTTCATTAAATATTCAGAGTTACTTTTTATCCTCCAGAGGCAGAAGTGATATAAAGAAGCAGATGGTCTTAAGATACTTGGCATTTCTTAAGCTGGCACCCCTCCCCAAAAAAAAACTTTTAAAAACTCATTATTAGAATCCTATTTAGCCTCACGACGATAGCATCTTATTGAGAGCTGCCAGCTGACATCCGAACATCACTTATAATTGTCTCTCTTTTACCGGAAGTTTTAATAGGGGGAGCTCACTTTTGTTGTACCTATAACCAAGATCTGTTTATTACACTGGTATTTAATCATGTATTGAATAAGGTAAGGGTTTCCTTGCTTACAATAAACATCTATAGCATTGCATAGAGCAGTACTTTTTACCATATTTATCAGAGTCAGTCGCTGTCATCTTTATTTATGTGAAATACTTGCATCCTGGATTATTTATGGTTAAAGCTGCCCAGGTGATCTCCTCTTCAATACCCCAGTGAATTGTGATCCCCATTAAATCACAGTCTCTCTGACGGTCCCTTACACCCCCCCACACACACACACACACACACTTTTTAACATTTATTACTTGTCTTAAAGCAACAACGTGCCTCATGCACGCCGGAATCAGTCATTTCCCAGTGGCGGACCACAGCCAAAAAAAGCCAGCATTCAGCAGGCTAGCAGTCTGACCAGCTTGGTTCACAGGCTGAGCTTGCACAAGGGACCACCTTAAATTGCAGAAGCGTGAAACCGGTCACATCACGAGCTGTAGCCTAAACTGCACATGAAGTTCGGTTTTGGCAGTAATGTGATTTTACGCCCCCACTGTTCCTCTCCTGTGCTCCTTCTTGCTGATCGGCGTGGCAGAAGATAATGCTTAATCTCAGACGATGCCATGTCTTTGGATCGCCGTGCCCTTGAAATCTTGGATGGGTGCTCACTGAGATACTGGCTGTTAGCGCTCCATAAACACATGCGTCACAATGGAGTTCCAGCACAGTGCAGATTCACGCCATTTTCTTCCATTACATCAAAACTCCATGAAAACTTTGGGACACCGACATATGAAGAGCTTCATGTAATATGCTGAGCAACGTTAGCCCTCACTGTTTAAGTCTGACATCAACACACCGACGGGCCACCTCTCTCTCTCTGTCTCTCTCTGTTTCTCTCTGTACACGACACCTAAGTGGCAGCACCTGCAGCCCATCCGGCTCTGATCCAGTATCCTGATCAAGCACATCTTCCAACCATGCTCCATGTGGAATAATTAAAACCCGCCACTTCGGAGGGGTACTAGCCTTGACGCTCTGCTTTGGCAAACACTACCCTTCACTTACATATAGACAATCGTACTATCTAGATGCATCACACACCTAAACGCAAACACAAGCATGTTCACATGCCTCGCAGACACAATCCAAGTAGTGATTATCAACACTGAAGTTCAACACTTTGTATCAACACTAACACTTTTTCATTCAGTGTAAATTGCTGTTTTCCCCCATATTCCCTTGTTTGTAAACTTTAATGGAATTGAAGTGCTGCTGCCCCCTGTAGTATATCTAGAATAATTACATGGAGTTTTCTCCTCCAAGCGTTTATGTTCGCTGGCGTTTTGCTTCTCTTCATCTGGGTTTAAGTACAATGGGGATAGCACGCTAATCCATAAGGCTGTTTTACCCAGAAGTCATACAGGAGCTGCTATAAAGTATAAGCCTTCATCCCATAATGAAAAGATGCACTTTGTGGATTTGCATAGATAACCACTCAATTTTCTGAATGTGCCTTTGGGAATCCCTGATAATGCTGGGACCCGGGACTAACCTTTGTGGTACGCAATCTCCATTTCATTTGTACTCATTCAATTGTCAAACTCAAATTTAAGTCTGATGTTCTGAGAAGAGATTTAATACAATTTTTTATATATATGTAAGCCCCAGTCCCATTGTGCAACAGTATGGTGATAAGGAAAGTGTAACGAGAAATCATTTTTAATCACTTTACTGACTTACATTTGAGATTCTGAAGAGGCGCAATGCCTTATGGGATACAGTCGGTAAGAGACAGTTTTATTTATCATTCTGGGGATTAAAGATCAAAGGGACGCCTCTGTCAAAAAATAAAACCTGCTGTCATTTCTAAATGTAGCACGTAACTGGAAAAAAGGAGATATTTAGTGTGTCACAAACACGCACGCACACACACACACACACACACACAAAACATCCATAATGTGCTGAAGTCATTCACCTGTGCTCTGAAATACTGCCAGCAACATTTAACTAACAAACAGCCTGGGAATAACTCACTTGCCCAATATTCTTTAATTTCACTAGGAAGGGGAAATCGAACAATGCCACAGACCAAACTCTGTTCAGGGTTTAAGGGTTATCAATGGAACAGACATCATGCAGGATTACACCCCTGGTAATTCATTAACTGGACCTAGTTCCACTGAAAGACTCCTGGTGAAAATGTGAAACTGTCAACTAAACATTATTCAGGGCTATGCTGAAACCTCAGTAAAAACACATCAGCCGTGTGCATTGCAGCTTACCATACACACATAATAGCTACATAATTTATATTGCTATACATTATTATTTTAAATAATACCCAGGTTCAGTATTACCATATAATGAACAGAAGATATTAAAATTAAAGCAATATAAACGTCTTCCTGCAATTAAAGCAGAGTAGTACTTTCCAAAGCTTAAATTGTGCTTTTTTTTATCATGAAATCTGAATTCAAAACAATTATGCATAACATAAACATGTTAATTTATTCAAACACCGCTGATTTATGCATTAACATTTTTATGGGTAATTAATGGCCTGAACAGTGCGGAATACTGCAGTAATCGAAGAGACTGGATTAATCTGAGTTTCGCCGATAGACACAGTACTCCTGTAGTATCTACTAGATGCTTTTACACAGTCCCTCTGGTCTTGCCCTGGATCTTCACTGTGGTAGTTCATTGACCTTTGACCTCTGCTAGGCATGCAGGGCGTTGGCTCTCTGGATCAGGCGATCGGTGAGCGGGGAGTTGGGTCTGGCTGCATCTCGTTCGGCCAACAGGCACCTAGGGATCGTAGCTTCCATGAGCGTTTACATTGCGAGTGTGACGTTGCAAAGAGAACACGTAACAGGATTAAAAACGTCCATCTTCGCGTTCCGTGACCTACCGCAGATAGACGGAAACTCGGATCATAGCAAAAGATCCACAGACCCCAAATAAAACACGACATGTATATACGTATGGGAAGAGCTTAGTTGTTAAATTACGCACAGTAAGGCATTATCAACATTAAATACAGTGGTAATAAAGTACATTGTACATTATTATACAGTACAGTACTCTCTCAAATGAAAGGGATTCTAACGTTTTAGCCTAATTCTCAAGATGCAATAGAGCAATGAAAAACATAGCATGTCTCAAGGAGTGATGGAGTGATGGAGTGATGGAGTGATGGAGTGATGGAGTGATGGAGTGATGACGATCATGCTTTTTATAAATTTTTATTACATACACACCGCAATAAAGTGGCAACAAATGCAATCAGCGAGAACGCTAGAGGCAGACGATGAGAGTTCTGTGGGGAAGCGTGGGAATGGTGACAATGGGAGATGAGTCATGTACTGGCAGTCGCTGGGCTGGCAGATCTCACCGTGTTACAGTCTGCACTCACTCGGTGTGCAGTTTGAAACTTATCAACCGTTCATCTCTGGAATTTTCCAGCTTTTTTTTGAATGCCAAGCAAATAACTGAAATTGCGTATATGGGGGAACCATTCTACGTACAGCTGTGGCAAAATCCACTGCAACATAGAACTCAACCAAAGCCTGGCTGCAACATGTATAATCAGATATTCACACAACATCTGTTAAGGTACTCAGCGCCAATGGAGAACTCTACTCGGATGCACACATTGAAAACTGCTTTCTGCAAAAAAATTAATTAGTTGAATCAAATGACGTGCTGACCTGGCCAGTCTTTGGTGACTCTCTGACTTCATGGCTGCGTGAATAAGCAGCTGACTGAGAAGATCCCTCTGAAAAGAGCAGCAGGGTCAGTTTGCAATATCCACTCGTCCCTTCATGCTGCGGCTCAATTCTACAACTACAAGACAGAAAATAAAACGATCAGAGGCTCATCTGGTTATTTAATGCAGGAAAAGCCCCAGAGGAGCAGCTCCTGAGATCAGAGACCCATCTAGAGACTGTGCCGTCCCATCCAGTGACATCCGCACCACTGCGCCGTTAACTTCATAAAACGGCTTTCAGGCAGCAGGACAATTCAGATCACATTGGCAACAGCCTTTGTTACATTCTCAAGAATATACATGAGCTGAGATCAGCTGTCCTGAGGCCAATGCTAGCTATGCTGTAAAATATTTTGTCCAAGCACTGCACTATCATACATTTAATTATGGTCTGCATACACTTAACTGTAACAGGTCCAAGGTTAATAAGACAATATCATTCAAGGACAGAACACAATAGGCATGGACAATATGTGAAGGGAACTGGAAGACCAGCGCAGCAGCACAGCAAAGGCGGCAGACGTGAGAAAAATGCTAATTGCTTACCTGCGCATCACTGCCCCCTATCTGGCAGAAGCGGTAGCGAATGGGCCGCAGCAGTTCCACAGCCTGCCCGTAGTTCCCCTGATCGTACTCCATCAGGGCCTGGCACATGGGCAGTGCCAAATCCTTGGCCAGCTGAAGTTGGTGGTTAACTCCCGGTGTCCTGAAAAAGGGGAGCAGGTGAGCCCACGACAGCCTGGGTGATCCTGTCCACACTTCTCTGTCTGATTGGTTAAGGGATGATTGATCATGTAATTAATTAATAAAAATCTATCCACAAAACAGAACATGTCCATTAGCATTTAAATTGATCTCCTAAACAATGTTTTACCGGCCGCAAAAATCTATGCTTTGTTCACAGAGTTTCAGTGACTTCAGGATAGCCATTAGAAGTGTTTCTATTAATCCAAAGTGACTCAAGCTTTAATATCTTTATGCAGATAGATGTTTTACTGGAGTCTTCGCTAAAGGGGACTACGGCACAGACTCCATGTAGGACTTCATCTGGCCACCTTCAGGATGTCAGTCTATCCTTTTAAAGGCCGTTTTGATGGTTTTATCCATAGTAAGGGGCAGTGGGTTCCACTCTGTGTCAGAACAGAGGTGAAGGAAGCCTCCCCATTATGGCACTTTTCTGCTGGCATACAGGAACTGAGCCACACCTGAGCTATACCGCAAAGAGAGCCTAGTTGCAGGGTGGTTCCAGCTCAATTTGGTTTTCCACCGCAGACAGATCAGATCGGTAAAGGCATTGCTGGGTTTGGAGAGCGACAGTGATGCAAAATCGAAGAGGCGCTTATTGACTACATGGTGTACATCAGGATTTACTATGTGCTAATTTCCGCCAGGACGTCTCTGAGAATCACCATGTTATGTTAGCATTAAATGCTAGTGGAATTAGCATTCGCTCGCATAAATTTGCATTACAAATTCATTCAGTTCAGCTGTCCTATAGTACTTTTTTTTTTTTAAGTAGGTGGTTGGAAATTTTCAAGCTCCGAGTTTTCAGTAATGTATCAATACAAAGCATTGTGCAATACTACTAATAATAAATATACAGAATATGCCCTTTTTTCCCCTTCAGAAAATCCATGCATATCGATGCAGATCACAGGCATCTCCCTGCATTTAGACCAATTAAATGGCGATGATGCAACCATCGCGGTTTGGCCATGCACGTAAGCAGGGCCATGTCAGTGCGGGTGTAGCTCAGATCTTGGTGGTAGTGGGAAGGCACCATTACAGAGCATCTCTTTGGCCCCCTTCTGGCTATAGCGGGCGGTGCGGTGTCCGGTGTTGCTTACTCCGCCTGCTCCCGCAGGGACTCCAGCAGTTGGCGAGTGGCTCCCTCCTCTCCAGCACCGAGTGACGTCATGAGAAAGTGGAGGTCATTGAAGATCAGCGCGTGGTCCTCCGTGTGCGACTCCGTGACCCGCATCAGCTCCCTCGAGCGCTCCTTCACCGCAACACCTGCCACCACACACGTCCTGCCGTAAAGACCCCATGGCTAACGTCTGCATGACGGCACTGCGTAGGATGAGCGCATGGTCGTCTCACCCTCCAAGCCCAGCCGGTAGAGCAAGGAGCAGGCGTCCACGGTGTCCAGCATCGCCCCAGAGGACAGGCATCGAGTCGCCACCTGCAGGACAGGGGGTCACATTGCATGAAGGACCCCACTGAGCCGGCGACATCATCACAGAGCAGCAGAATAACCCGCACCCTCCCCCCCCCTAAACAAGGAAACATCTCACAGTTGATTTTACTGCAGCCCTGCAAGCAAATCCAAAGGGCCCATTATCTGCAGCATAAGCACTTCTGTGAGCTAGGGGGCACTTACCTGCCCGTCGTATATGCCCAGGGCAGATTCATACTCCCCCTGGGGGTGGAATAAAAAAGCACATCAGGCTACCAGCCCACCAAAGCACTGCGGCAGGAAGATGGCGATCATTAAACCTCTGCATCGTGATGACCCTGGCATTTCCAAGCATCTCTTCTAAAACAAACATCTCACTCTCTGCCTTTGTTATTCACATTGTGGCCCCAGGCTGAGACATTCTTACACGAACCGCGTTTATACATCTTCCCTCTATGTTGAACGTTCTACTTTCATGCAGCAACTGATATCACACCTACCTTTTCAATGAAGTACAAGGCCCAGTGCCAGTAGTTATGGCAGGCAAGCATGTCACAGGCCTGCAAAGCGGGGGAAAGCATATGTTTATGACCTGCAGACATAACTGGGGTAAACAGCCGGCAGGTGCATGCATGTTCTGTTAACATTAATGCTAACAATAACCGTTTCCACAACCCAGGTATGCATACAAAACAGCATGCAGCATAGCGGTTAATTATCTGGGCCAGTTAAGAGAGTCACGGGTCCAAATCCCAGCTTGGAAACTTGCCACTGCTTGAATGTAGGACAGCTGGAATTGCAGTGCACCGCTTTTGCCATCTAGTGGTGAGAAGCAGCCATGACGGCAGCGGCAGCATTAATCACAGATGTTCTCAATCTCAAATCAGCAGCTGTGAGAATGTGTAATTATAGAAGGTCACAGCCAGATCGGAAATGGTACAGCAGGCTTACAAGCATCTCTGGTATGATTTCTCTCACTGGAGAGAAAGGATCTTGTCCAAAAGTCAGATTTTTCGCAATGAAATCTCTTTTTAATGAGGACCCCTCCAGCTGCTATGAGTTTTAGATGCACAACAAACTGCTAAAATATTTTGTTATATGAAATATAATGAATGCCTGTGGGAGAAAAAAACATGCCTCTCACCAAATTTCAGTTATGGCATTCCCCCAGATCTGTTTACATCTTCCCTTATTCTGTACTGCCCCTGACTTGATCACACCATTTAACAAGAACTGTTTCATTAATTCCCAACTGTTTATTACTATAATTAAGTCATATCAACCAACCAATAAATGATATATAAAAGAGTTGCTTAAAAAGTCCCAAAATCTCTTTCTCTTTTTAAAAAAAAAACCCAAAAAAACTGACATTCCAGTTTTTTTCTGTATCTTCCATAAACTTCAGGCCCTTGTCAATCTCAGCTCTCATTTCGTGCACATGCGCCATGGAGTGGACACTCCAAGCATCGCCAGGATTTAAGGCCAGGCCCTGGGGGGTGAGAATCAAGAAACAAACAAGCTAAACATCAACTCCCTGCACACCACAGAGGGTCAGGCTCTAACACACACTCACAAGACAAGCTCTACCCACCAGTGACACAGAGTATACACAGCTCTCAACACAGCTCACAACTTGCACTCATTGCATAAGGAAATTGTGCTTACAGTAAGCAATGGCTCCAGTGTGCTGAAGATTTGTTGTTAAAATATTCGATCTATCCATGGTCTACTTGCCTCTTTTGCAACCTTTTCTGCCTGGTCATATAAACGTGTCTCCAGAAGCCCAAAGGAATATAATCCTTTAAGGTAGCTGTCAAGGAGCATGGAGGGAAAAAGCAGTAATGCAATAAAAGCACACAGCAACAGGCCTGAGGAATAAACATGAAGAGAACGGTTTGGAGAAGAAATCTAAGGCCAGACTGATGGAACCCCAGGTCCTACAGAGGATCCTACCTCTTCTTGCTTAAGCTCAAAGCTGCAGGGATTTTAGGAACTGTATCAGCTTGAATCGAAAACTGGTTAATTAACAGACAAGAAGTAGCGAGTAGTTATTAGAAGCACAATGTCACAGTGGGCCCATGTTCATAGTGGGGTACCGCAGGGTTCAGTTTTAGGACCACTATTGTTCCTAATTTACATTAATGATATTGACACCAATACATAAAACAAACTGGTTAAATTTGCAGACGAAACCAAGGTGGGTGGTGTAGCAGATACTGATCTAGCAGCACATAGGCTACCAAGGGATATTGATTTAATTGGCGGCTGGGCTGACACCTGGAAGATGAAACTGGACATAGATAAATGTAAGGTACTCCATGCAGGGAGCAGAAATATAAAGTACAGATATTTTATGGGTTCCACTGAAATAAAGGTGGTCAATTATGAGAAAGACCTCAGTGTGTATGTTGATGCTTCCATGTCCCACTCTCACCAGTGTGGGGAAGCAATAAAAAAGGCCAATAGGATGTTGGGTTACATCTCTGGGTGTGTGGAGTTTAAGTCAAGGGAGGTGATGTTACATTTATATAATTCCTTAGTAAGACCCCACCTAGGATATTGTGTGCAGGTTTGGTCACCATACCTTAAGAAGGACATTGCTGCCTTGGAAAAGGTTCAACAGAGGGCTACGAGAATGATTCCTGGTCTTATGAGGAGAGGTTAGCTGAGCTGAATCTGTTTAGCCTTGAGCAAAGGAGACTAAGGGGGGACATGATCCATGTATATAAGATTCTAACGGGTCTGGATGCTGTTCAGCCAAATGGCTACTTGAATATTAGTTTAAATACTAGAACTCGTGGCCATAAGTGGAAATTAACAGGAGAACATTTTAAACTGAATTTGAGGAAGCACTTCTTTACACAGAATGTAGTTAGAGTATGGAATAGTCTTCCTGCTAGTATAGCGCAAGCTAAAACCCAGGGTTCCTTTAAATCAGAGCTAGATAAGATTTTAACAACTCTGAGCTATCAGTTCAGTTCTCCCCAAACGAGCTTTATGGGCCGAATGGCCTCCTCTGGTTTGTAAATTTCTCATGTTCTTATGTACCTGTAGAGAGGCATGGAGGGCTTCCAGTGGGGCAGGACCCGGGCCACTGAGTCTCGCATCTGCACCTGATATCCCATGTAGAAGTAGCTATCGTGGGCAAACTTCAGCGCCAGCAGGTCGGTGGGATGCTCCAGCAGGATCTCCTCCCACAAATCGCACGCTTTGGGAAGGCACCTGAGATCGGCAGATTCCCCACCTCCATTAACTGACAAAGAGCAAGTGGAATGTTCCAGAACAAAAATTCATACATGACATGAGCGAGACTAAACAGAATCTGCCATGGAAACATGCTGCAATGTTAGTGCGAGGTTTTTTTTAAGTGTTAAAATGTTACACATTCACATGGCAAGTCTTTGCTCCAAAAACCCGCCACTTTGCGGCTAACTCTGAGAAGCCCCATGTTCCAATCACATGACCACTGACAACTGGGATAAGAACCATGTGACCAGACATCAAAGTCCGGCCAATGAGACATTAAAATGAACATGAAGGTGATTTGTGGCTTAAAAGAGCTTTGAAAAGAAGACTTACATGCATGCTTCAGCAAAAAAAGTATAGTCAAATGAATTACACACACTTTAGGAAAACATTTAAATTGAACGTTTGACATTACTACTGTTGGTTTCACTGATAAGGCTGATTAGAGATCTTTAAATAATAAATCCAGGGGAGGTACCAAGATCTTCAGTATGTAAGAAAGCAGATATGAAAAATATATGCAAGAGCCAATGGTGTCCAAAGACATTAACCCAAGTTTCACTGATGGGATGAGGGCTTCCTCACCCCTTGGAGAACATCTCCACAGCGCTGACATGCAATTTCTCTCGGGGAGTAAGGTTTTGGATCTCAGCTAGCTCCATGGTCCTCCTGACGGCGCTGGCCAGCCTTTCGTTCAACAGGACAGAGCTCCCCGTCCCAACCAGCTCCAACCCCGTGCTGATCACATGACCCATCACTGCAGGATTTGGATGGAGCCGAGGTCATGTGACCACACAAACACAAAAATTCAGGATAATGTACAGATTTCCAGGATACTTAAGGTAAGCCATCAGGGTGCAGACATCTCAGAACAGCAATGACGAATATAACCTTATTTTTAACTGAAGGACATCAAGTTGTCTCCTACCAAAGTTTGGGTCGATTTTCTGGACCCTGGAGATACATTCATCTATCCCACCAAGAGTTTTGTCATTGCGCCATGTGACATACTGCAAGCGAAAACAACACAACTCAGACTAATAACCCCAGTTCACAGCAGGATAAAACAGCCATTGCGGCATTTAGCCAAGACACAGTACCTGAGTAAGTATGGCATCGTACATTTTGCACGCCTCATTGCTGGTGGTGGATAGAGGCAGACCTTCTGCCTGCCAGGCCTGTGAAGTCCCACAAGGTGACGTTAATTATTACATTAGGGATTAAATGTAAAGATCACAGGACAGTGTGCATGCGCTGAGTATCTACAAATACTGTAAATGTATTACACTTTGACCCGTTTTGAAAGGTACATTACGAAACATCGGCCCAGGGTTTTGACAAGCCACAACGCACAAAAAAAAATTGCAATAAGTTCATATACCAATGAGTACTGCAGCACTAATCAGCACGTTAGCAAACTATTACATTTATTACTTATTTTCTTAAGACATCAGTTGCAAGTCCAAACTTCTACACTTACTTATTCATTCATGCAGTAAGAAATTTAATATTCTGTCTCATATTACTTCGCGCAAAGAATTGAGTACAACGGAATAACAACTTTTAAATGTCATGCATTCCGTCAAACTTGACACGAGTTCAGGAAATGATTAATAGTAATATTAATACCCAAAATCCACGACACGGAGGACCTGCGCACGCCAGTACTGTCTACTAAAGTCACATCGCCATTGTCATAAGTACAAAAGTAAATGTAATGTTTCTGGTATCTACTAAATAGTGTTTTACTTACCCCGCAGTCCCTGAAAGCAGCGGACTCCATAACTGAAGCGGCCCAGGATCAGTCCCGCCCAGAGGGGGCGGCTGGAGAGGAGTAGCGGGGCGGGTTTTGCCAATAGCGTCTGACCGAGCAGAAAGAGGGACGTCTGTAGCCTTGTTTTTCTGTCTGCTCGTCTGCTCTCAGTTCATCAAGCAGCGTGGAAGTCCTGTCTTCTGCTAGCAGTCTAGCATGGCGATTATCCCTGACATGTTCAGTAAATTTGCAGAGCAGCAGTTTCAAAGCTTTTAAAGCTACAATGCAGACAGGAGAATCTGCGACCAGGACATTAAACTTAAAGTCACTGCATTTTAACAAGCGTTCATATCGCCTGTATGACTATAAGACTCTGAAGCCTGGGCCTGTGTGTTTATTCGCGTTTGACTGGGTGGCGCTGCTGCACCTTCAGGGTTGTGGCTTTTCCCTGCTTTCTGTGTCTGGAGTCTCCCGTCGTAGTTACTAACCGCTGTCCAGTTATTAATCAGTATTTAAATTCAGTTCCCCGTATTGTGTGTACACGCACCATGGGATGAACTGGCTCCCCCGTTTAATGTATACCCGTATACTCTGTACTGCCTGGGATCAGGGTTGTCAATTAACTGGCTCCTGTGAGTCTGCACTCTCATTTAAATGTATGTGACGGCTTTATTACCCGGTAAATGGTCTGTAGGGTTTGCAAACGACATCAACGCGTTTGGTGTAGCTAATTTTAGGTCTATAATGGAATAATATAGTTTTGCCGTAAGATTTCTTGCATAGACATGTGAGTCACGCCAGATGCGTGAGAGCTGGCAACGCTGTGGGATACCTGTCACCCTAAGCAAGATAACCGATTAGAAAATGGATGGTACAGTGTTATACTTCGAAACTCGAACTTAATCCGTTCAGAACTCCAGATCGAATCCTAAAAAGTTCGAGTTCTGATCGAATTTTCCCTATAAGAAATAATGGAAAACCAATTAATTGGTTCCCGGCCCCAAAAAAATACACCTAAACGTGTTTTTATTTTTTAGCATTTAAACACAAAATGAACCGGATAAAACAAGAAGAGCATATACTGTACTAAACACATCTAAGCACATTTATCAAAACAGTAATTTGTAAAGTAAGAAAATAAATGTATCAAAACAATGTGTAAAGTTAAAAAAAACAATGTGTCCTGCCCCGATAGTCCGTTCCTTCCGTGTGCCACGCCCCCTCGTTAACCCCGTGTGGAATCCCCGTGTGATCGGCTGTTTCTGATTGTTGTCATTAGTCCTCTGTATTTCGTCCGCGTTTCCCCAGTCTGGTCATTGTATTGTCCGTCTGCGTTTTGCCTGCCTTACCTGTAATTAAACCCCGTATTCCCCAATACCCTGACGTCTGCGCCTTTGTCTCCGTTCAGTTCCTCTGGGCACGACAATATTATTATAATTAAATGTATTAATGGTTTATTGTTAATATTAAAATAATGAATAAGAAATCTTTATTTTTAAATGTATTTTATTGTATAATAATAATTACTGTCACTGTCTATTATTGTCTAAATGTATTTTTACTGTCTAAATATATGTATTCAGCTAGTGTAAACATGCACAATGCTATCACAGCGAATGCAAGGCTGAGACTGAAGCTTTACCCTTTGTTTCCACTGAGAGACGTGCCGCGTGACTCATTTCCCCGCGCATACAAGTTATTTTAGGTCGGCGTTCACTGTTTGACTTCTGAGATTCAGATCGAGCTCTATGTAATTTTTTTTCAAACTGGTTGGTTCGACTTTTAAGAAATTCGAGTTCTAATGAGTTCGAGAACTGAGGTACCACTGTATTTGCTTCTCGGCACATGACATTGCCCCCACCCTCTCTGTGACTACAGCTGATTTGGGGCCGGATTTGAGTCAGCTGATTTGGAGTCAGATAGGTTTTGTGGTTCCGCGCAAAGGTATAGCTCAAGTACAATAGAGGCACTGATACAGCACGTTGTGGCACACAGCACATGACAAACTACCTTGGGATCTTGGTTGGTGACCCTCCCCCCAAGGCTGACACGCGATTCAGTCCGACCCGCCGGAAATCGCCGTCTATCTGCCGTAGCCAGGTGTTACGTGGGCGTCCCTTTGGCCTGGGGCAGCCCCTGCGGTCCTCACATGGAGGATCCTGCGAGCCGGATCGCCCTCGTGGAGCCGCGCCGCGTGGCCGCAGTGCCGTGACTGACGCTCCCTCACTATGGCGCGTGAACAGCTTCGACGGCCTGAATAACGGCTCTCTGAGGCGTCCAGGAAAGCTCAGGAGAGCGGTTACTCCAGAGTTATTGCTTATGGTAAGTCAGCACTAATTTCTCCGGTCGAGTAGTTTAACGTGTAATTTAAGTAATGGGTTAAAATAGTGTTTTTATATTTCCTAACTTTCATCAAATGAGGTGGCCTGATGGTTAGGGACGCGCACTTGTAATAAAAAGATTGCTGGTTCTAATCCCTGACCAGCAAAATACCACTGAGGTACCCTGAGCAAGGACCCCCCCGCTCCCTGGGTGCTGAATGGGCTGCCCCCAGCTAGTCACAGATGGGTTAAAAGCAGACGACATGCTTCATTGTTGTGTGATGTGGTTTGTCAACAATGACCTCATCACTTTCTCTATAAAACAGATTTAAAAACTACTTCTCTTAACATCCCTTATCCAGGTCCTTGCTAATTAAGTCTTATACTTACAAAAAGCACCAATTCTAATCACTTTCACAGGTAAAATTTAGACAAACTCTTTCCCCTCTTCTTGTGAGGTAATTCAGCGTGACAGTGGTTCCATTTTAATTCCCGTTTATATTCCTAGTCTTGCGCATAGTTTTGTTACCCGGTTCTCTAGTTGTCTTATCTTGACGCACGATTTAGAATACATCGACTTTAATGGGATCCGAGTAGATTTAGGCCTAGATCCGCAGTGGATCCGTAATCCGTATCCGATCCGGCTTTGGACCGATGTGCAAATAGATTCAAAACAGCATCTATGTTGTGGATCTGGACCGAAGGTATTGCTACCTCTGAACCGTATACGGAGCGGTGTCCGTATTCTACCTGGGTCCATGATACAAAAAAATGCTCAATGTCCAACTTCTTAAAATACCATCTGCTTTGCTTTTATTGCCTTTTCATTATACATCCAACAGTGTATGCATCGAAGCTACAAGCGTTTACATTTTAGTTGACACAAGTTTAAAAATTAGGATTTTTTTACATTTTATATTATACATATTATACATCCCACCTGACATGTTAATAAATAAAATACTCTATCAGACATACCACAATTTGTCTTGAAGCCATATAAACATGTGCTTGGCCTTTTGACTGTACAAAATCCCATTTCATGCGCAGTTATGCATCTGTTTCATTATATATAGCGATGCGCAATTTGGCAGAATTTTCTTTTGTATTTGCCAAAATAAATGATACATGCTATAATTAACAGCCTCGATTCAGGCAAGTCAACAGTCTTTAATATTGTGAACTCTTATGTGGAGTAAAGAGGGGGGAGGAGATGCTATTAATAGAATTTCTAACATTTAAGGAGTGAACCGTAAAACTGAAGGACATAGACAAACGTGATAGACCTTTGAAACGTCATAGACCTTTGAAAGTTTACAACAGAGAAGGCATGTCGTTCCAGCGCTTAAACGGAAAGATCAGGACGCTGTAGACGTCACCTTTCCCATGTCACATCATGTGAGCTTTATGAAAACATCATCCACCTCTTGTGTGGTGTGTTCTGGGTGATCGGTATGCCACATGCTTCCAACCCAGTCGTGCATGTCTGACTATACATTTGTACTGTACAAAGGATTCACATTTTATTCAAATCACATGAGTAGATACCAGCAAATCCAAAAACGTAAAAAAGGTAATCTCAATTCTTTTGTAGGTGACCATTTGAAAATATTGATTGTATAGAATAAACTCAGGATTTTGAGGGGTGTGTCTGATGTTATTGTCACATGACAGAACCATACCCACGGCCCTAATCCCTATTCATTCTGCCAGGTTAAATTTCATACTGCAGTTAGAAGATCCTCCTCCAGACCTTCAACCTTGTGTTCATGCTTTTAGTTCTCTTTTATGGTGATGAAGAAAAACAAGCCTCTGTACAATAACCTTAATGAAGGAAACTGCGTTTCAGTTACAAAGCAACTACACCAACAGTGGTCCATCCTTAGACAAGCCTGTGAATATTGGACAAGCAGGACACAACCATCCCACCCATATCAGCTCAGCCAATTAAAAGTCACAATGAAGGTGACTAGCGGCAAGGCCGATCAGTGTTAAAAGTTATGGTGGGGGGGGATCCAGTGACAACCCCACTGCATGCTTCTCCTTGAAAATTCTTGCCCATTTATTCAGGCTTCCAGGTTAAACATTCCATCTCTTTCTCCTTCTGTCAAAAAGAAAAAAGCAAAACAAAATAATATAAAACAAAACAAGCAATAAAAAACTGAGAATCTTTCTCCTTCCATGGAAGTAAATAGCAAACTATGGTGAAGGTGGCCTGTTCAGTGCACAAGTGATATGTAAACAGTCCTGGTGGTATGAGAAGGACAGGAAGTATACAGGAAGCTGAACACGTTCCATGAAAGTGAGGAGGGTGGATCAGCCCCCTGCCAGCATGTCTTTGGCTATTGCGTTGGAGAGGGGTGTACTCTGTTTCAGGTCAGCAGAGTCTACATCTTAGGCCCAGTTGAGGTTGAAGCCTTTGGAGAGCATAACGGCCTCAAGGTCTCTGTCCTCCTCTTTTTCTCTCAGCCGCTGTTCCTCCAAGAGGGCTACCAGTGAGTCACGCTGTTCCACCACCTCTAGCATCTCATTCAGGATCTGCCTCTCCTCCAGCAGCTCCTCCTCAGACTTCAGGTGGTCTAAGGATGAACAGAAAGTTCAAGATCCAAGTTACATGAAGTTTAGCCAAGGCAGAATGGCAGAACACTGATAACCACACACTAATTGAAGTGGTATTTGGGCAGCGTTAACAAACACCCAATCCACACATTGCCTTACCTTCCACGGCCATGCGCTCCCTCAGCTCCTGCTGCAGACGGCTCTGCCGGTCCTCTAGCTCCAGCTCCCGTGCACTGAGGACAAGGGAACAGGGGGGCAGTGCAGCCTTAAGTCATGGGAAGAGAGATCAAGAGCAGGTACAGTGATGAGTTTGTTTGTACTCACAATATCATCAGCTCTGACTCATAGCGCACCAAAGCGTTCTTCTCTTGGACCAGTTTAAACCATTCCTGCATGAGTCTGGGGTCATCCTTCTTACCCATTCCTGCAAGGGGCCCAGTGAGAGAAGGTAATCAAATGCAGAGCAGGACCAGGGAAGGCTCCTGGGCTGACAGAGTGAGTCAGGCAGTGTGGGCAGCAGCCAAGCAGAGATGTTTCTACTGAATGGCAGGGCAGTCAAACCCACAAACCAAACATCTGGGCCTATCTGAATGGGATGAAGACTTGTCCTGACTTTTCTCTGGAAACCACAGGATTCTGTACGTTGGGCAATCATTAGGGCTGTTACATACATCAGATATCAACAACATAGAAAGGTCCCCCCAAACACAGGCAAGTGTATAGACAGGTCTACTCACATATGATCTTTAATTTTAGACCATGTGAGGATAATTTTATACAACCATTTGAACCAGATCAGCATTTGAAGATAATTCACACAATGGACAGTAACTTTCTGTGCCGGGGGGGGGGGGGGGGGGGG